TGTCGGGAACAATGACGTAGTCCCCGACGGCGAAGGAGGACACGGCGTCGCCGATTTCCGAGATGTAGCCAACAGCCTCGTGGCCCATTGTCCATGGCGGGGCACCGCCCATGTAGCCGCGATAGATATGCAGGTCGGATCCGCACATCGCTGAAGCGGTCACCCGCACAACAACATCCGTCTCGTTCAGAATTGTTGGCTTGGCAACATCCTAAACCATCATTTCGAAAGGCGTGCCATGGTAAACGACTGCACGCATAGTCGTGGCTGGCCAGGAAAGGTTGAGCGACATACTTTTTCCGATAAGGGGCGTTGATGCTCAGGCAAGTAGCGTGGCTGAGCCGATGGTGGAATCTCACGGCGAGTGTGATGGTCTCTTGCAGTTGTGCTCGTCTTGCTTCTTAGTCGCATGAGTTCTTGGAGATCTGAAGTCCGTCGACAGCCAATATATAGGCATAGGAACCATACGGCATGAATGCTACTCCTGAGACCGTCTGTCTTGCCACGCTGGTGTCGCTGGAGAACCTACAGCCTCACCGATCGGTGAAGCGAATAGCTCGAGTAACAGAATTGCAACAAGAAGCAAGATTTGACTCCAGGTAACACCGAAACAACACCTTTCGCGGGATGTGACCGACTTGGTTTGCGGGGTCAAGGCTCGGACACCGCGGTTGGCGTCTAAAACCCATGCTTGACCGGGCTCCTTCCGCACTTTGTGGCGATGGAGTCAGGAAACGGACTGTCCTGAGAGCCTTATCGCTCGTAAGACGACATGGCTCCTGCATGGATGATATCGGGAATGATGTTGGCCCACGTATGAAAGGTCAAAATCGAATCTTCATTTGTGGCGGCCACGATGAGGTAGCTTTTTGTTGTTTTCGTAAGGGACTTGGTTCTAGGCCAGCACCTTAGAGCATTAGTCGACCTCAAGCAGGCCATACTTGCTCTGTGGCTGGCACGAGAGGGATCATTCGGTGCGTACGTAGCGTATTTGGATTACGCTACGAGAACTTTGTCTAGCTTTCCGAACGGAAGCCGTAATGCAAATCAATAACCAGGTCGGCGGAGGGAACCTCACCCTTGATCGCGCTTGACCTCGCCTCTTCAAACCCCGCTCCTCGCAAGCCATGATCAAAGAAACACAGCGCCTATAGCAGTGCTTCTTCCCTCGGGAGAGGTCATGTTGTCTACTGCATGTATGTACCATCAATGGACACTACGTGTCTGGCCCAGGTCTAGGTGGAGATGGTCGATGTCCGTGCCGGCGCGCCCCAGTTCATCCAATTCTTCCCACTGCCAATGGCCCTTGCCATAGATGGATCCGAGAGAGATTGGCTGGATCGTGTCGGGGTGTTGACGCAGCGATTTTTCGGGCCCCTCGACGCGCTTCGCCAGCCGCATTCAACGTCGTCCGCTCGCTCATGATCTTTTCGTGCACCCTCACGAGTTCTTCCAGGTTCCAGTTCTTGGCAAAACGCGAAAGGCCGGCAATGATCTCTGGATCGACTAGACCTTTAACATCTACGTCGCCCAGATCCCCGTTCCGTCGGGTCTGGTCGATGGTGGTGCCGATCTGGTACTCGACAGTGGTGATCTCTTCAAGGCCTAAATGGCTAGCCATTGTCCCACTAACGAATCACTTCTGATCTGGATCAGACTGCCAGTATGCCTAAGTATAGCTGCTTCCCATTCACCCATCTGGGTCATCATTGACTTCAGACAAGTGACCAAAAAACTTGACAAAACATGTACCTATTTGATGAACGCTGCTTGTTGGACATGGCCTGCAAGTCTGACCGGGGCGAGCATTCGCGGCCTGTCGAGCAAGCTGGCATAGGTGAGATGGACCTGTTAAACTCAAAGACAAAGAGGGACGACATAATCGAAGCAGGAGTCGGTACCATACGCCACGAAACAAACCCATATTCCAAGGGGAGATACGTTCATCTACATTTCCATCCTGGGTCATGAAAACCGGGGGTTTGGGGCTGTGATTGAATTGAATTGATCGCTGGAATTGACCGGGCGGTGCAAAAGTGCACAGCGACGACGGGCTGACAGGTTGCATTGTAGACATCCTCCTCTATTTGACTATTTACCAGATTCCGTGTTCTTCACAATTCGAAGCTGGTCTAGTGCTGACTGCAGAAGACGTCGAACTCGTGGGTCCATATCCGTGCGATCTAATGCCGACAGCGTATTGTCACGGAGCTGCTTCTGCTGCCGTTCCTTGGCATCTCTACGTAGAACGAAGTCCCACATGCATACCCCGTTTGACCCGGCGAGTTCTGGGCGTAGTGGTAGGCTGTATTTTGATCTCCATGATAGGTTGTGATCCTCGATGACCATTGATTGAACACGGAGGCGTCCTTGCACGTAAGAGACTGCTGTCGTTGTCACGGTCGTCGCAGTGTGAGAAAACAGAATGTCGAACGCGGTAACTCTAGTTGCACTTTGGTCGATCAATGGGTCCCAAACGGCTAACGTGAGGTCTTTGACAACTACTTCTCTCCTTTTCGGGTTGTAACGAGCACTCGACGATGCCAGGTAGCGGGTGATCGGACAATCCACCTGGCGTTCTCGTGAGTGCAGTTGCCGGAATGCTAGATATCTCGGGGGTTTCCCACGCAGGAGACTTGTAAAGTCTTTGCCGACAAGAACGAAATCGACATGTTTTACTGCGCTGCTAAAAAGGTCTTCGAAAATAAAACGACGGATATCTTCCATTTCTTTGGGGGTCGGACATCCTAACGCCATCTCGGCCTCACCATGGTTATCGACCAAAGAACGTTGGTGGGCGGGGCCGAACTATGTATGAGTAGGTACGAAACGTAAAGACCTACCTTGATGCTGATACATGCTGTGGAGCAGGATTCGCGTCCCATACGATAGCGAAAGGGGCATGGAAGAAAGGAGAGGGCCGAAACCCGCCCTTCAGACTGATCTGAAAAAGCCGTTAAGTAAGCGCTGTTGCGGATGATAAAAGCAGTTGCGGTGCGCTCAGATCGAAGAAGCAGGAAATTCTTCAAGGATATTGATCATAGGAGCTCGTGCCTTCTTTTCGTGTTATCCATGGCTGGCCGTGCTCTTGACTCCCACGAACGCTTCCAGATATGGGCGACAAAGTGGCATGTTGGAAATGGTGAGCATTTGCAGACCCAGAATATCTCAATGACGCGCTTACACAAAGCAGATGACGAGTGGTGCCTGCCCCACGAAGATGACTCGGAAATCACCCAAGAGTATGGCAGCGCTAGCCTCACTGCTTTGAGAATACTTGAAGTAAGTAAGATCGCTAGCGACGGGCGAGTTGGGCTGATGCTGATATGAAAACCAGCGAAAGGCTTTGCCTCTATTCCATTACATGGAGATCCAAGAGTGCGTGAAGAATGGATGGGCGTCGCGGTTGCGGATCTGTACAAAGTTCATCCAGTTCGGCACTTACCTCCGCATCCCCTTCGAGACGGTCCACCTAGCAGTGAACTGCCTTGACCGGTTTCTCTCGGTTAGGGTTATTTCAGAATACCATCTTGACGTAATTGGAGCAGTCATTTTCGCCATCGCGGTCGAGTTCGAAAGATCGAGCGTACCTTCTGTGTTTGAACTCGATAACAGCCTCGTTGAGCGGTACCAACCAGGAGACATCCCATTCATCAAGTCAGTCGTAGTTGACGTTTTGGATAACTCACTCAAAACACCGAGCACGTTCGTTTTCCTTCGCCGGATCAGCACCGCAGACACGAAGGCGGCGGCCATACTCTCCCTTGCGCAGTATCTATCGGCATGCAGTCTACTAGAAGCAAGATACGTCGGGATTGAACCGAGCCGCATTGCAGCAGCGGCTTACCACCTTGCTCTGCGGATCGCGTTCAAGGGGAGTTGTCTTGAACTCAACTGGGTAGGAAAATACTCCGGAGCAGCAACAAAAGCTAACGGCGAAGTAGAGCGACAAGCACGTCAAGCTCTCTGGCTACTTGGCGGTAGAGCTGAGACCACCGATGGCTGCACTGTGGAACACCAGCCAACAGGAACAAATCAACGCACCTATCAAAGCCATGAGGGTTGGCCAGTTTCAAGAAGCTGCTAGGGTTGTAGAACGTACCTCCGAGAGCGTCTTCTTTCCACGATGTTTCAATCCGTGGGAGTACGAGGGCCTGTACATACCGTCTTGGGACGAGTCAACAGGCAGCTCGTTAGAAAACGTCTCAAGCTCGTCAGAATGTAGCTCACAAGGCGGATGCGAAGAGGGCATATGAACGCATAGAAGCGATGACGTATGGCAGGTGTGGTGAAATGTTTGTTCATTAGCTTCGATGTACATCAAACCTCAAGCCTAACGGTTGATCGATCACTTTTACGCAAGAGCACATGACTTTATAAATGTTATATAATCAACCAACTAGCCTGCGCGAGTCGACGGTTCTTGTCTCTTCCAGGCAAAGTTCGAACGACGTGGATGCACAGTAGAGTTGTGAGGACTGGTCTACAAGCCCGTAAAATCCATGGGGAATTGCCTGCAGTATCAAGCAGGTGCTCTCAAAAGAATGAGGCTTACAGTACTTTGTTTTTCCTGTTGACCCCGTGGCCACATGGACACGTGCAGCTCCATACAGACGCCAAAATTGCAGAAAGGTCAAACGAGGCCTGACTTCATCTCGGGGCCTCAATTACGGCCTATTGCATGCCGCGATTGAATCAAATCACCGGGAAACGGCTGCAGCTTACTTAGTGAACTACGAGCAAGAATAAGCCGCGA